GGGGGGGGTGGGGGGGTTGTGGAAGGGGGAAAAAGATCAGCTTCAGGGATCAATGTGATCATCACTTGAATGACCTATTTGACAATAATCAAACACCCATTAGGAACTGGTTTGTTTACACAGAATGCAGTCGATTCAATCTTAGCACATCACACAGTTTGAAAAACAAACAATTGGACATCTAGAATTTTAAAACGTCCAAATTGAAGATGCAGAGCAATGACCAACTTTGCGAAGGTTTCAGTTTTTTAACTCCATCATCTACTCTACAGTTCAAGCATAATATACTTTACACTTCCTCAGATACAGGAAGCAGAGGAGCTAAAAGATCATTTCATGCTTTCCTCCCAAAGATTTGCAATTAGATTTAACGAGAACCACCATCTTTAAAAGGCAAGTGAACGCAATCAGATAGGTTTTGTTGAACTAGAAGAAAGTGCCTTCTGGAGGCTGGACAAGTTTTCGATTGTGGGAAGCAGCCATCTCCTTCTTCAGCTGTGTCAATATGGACTCCATTGTGTATTCGCGCTGCCAGTTAGCTAGCATGCTGAATTTCTTTGGCTCCACCTAAAATTTATCCAACCAGAAAATGTTCAAGGTGAGTAGAGGACTCAATACACTATAAGAATTCAGTAGTACCTGTCACAGGTATCCATCTTTCTCTACTACCCACCAGGGCTCAAGTGAAAGTTTGGTGATAAGTGCTACAATAGCTAAAATCTCGTTGCACAATTGCTTTCAGTCATCGAATAAGAGAAAAACAAGGAAAAAAAGAAAATGAAAAAGAATCATCCTCCAAAATGCACAGATCTCAATTTACATGAATGGCAAGCGTCTATAAGACATACTGAGGACGTTAATGTAGAAGAGGCGGGTACAATAACTCAGGGGAAAAGATCAGTTTTGATGGTTTAATGCATTGCACTAAAGAAAAACAATCCATGCTCTCATGGTGACAACTTAGCCTACATCACCATTCAATAAATACCCTCTCAAATTGCAAAGGTACTAGATATAATGAAAATTTTGGTTGTAAATGCCTGACAATAAATAAATGAGAGCGAGAGAGATTATTACCACTCCAGTTTCATGATTAACACAAGTCATATTTATTCGTGAATGGAATCGAACAGTAGGTGGTTTCTCTGGATAGTCCTTGTCACAGAACAGCTTCAACTGATAGATGCGCCCCTCATGAACTGACTGTAGTACAGATGCAATCACATAAGATCTCATAAAGAATGCACATAGGTCTTAAGATAGTTGAGCTTTGATTAGTACTAAAATTTTACATTGTGAGGCCCAATTATAGTGCCAGTCCAGGACCGCATGTAAATGTCATCTCCATCATCCATTCCATAACTCACAGTCCCATCCCCAATGCCCTTTTCTCCTCGTTCAAGTTCTTCTAGCAACCGGAAGTTCCTAGGAACTACAAACCAAAGGAAAACAATGTGTCAATGGTTCTTTTGGTATTGTTCTAAAAATCTATAATCCAAGTCCAAACTTTCTGGTACTATGAAGTTGAGTAGTTTCAATTTAGTGATAGTTGCCATACAATCAAATTTTGCAGTAATTCTCTTAGGCCATGTTTGTTTTTTAGATAGTTAGAGTACTATTTTAAAATAGTCTGGACCCACATTTTAATCTCACTGTTTTTATCCGGTGCAGACAATTATTAAGAAGGGACTAAATAATCCCCACAAAGGGGACTATTTGAAACCCACCCCAACCCCAACTTTAAAACCTAGGTACTGACACCTATAGGGGGTAAAATTTTGAGACAAAATTACCCTTATTCATTATGGACTTTTTTCTAGAGATCTTATTTTACCAATGCTTTTACTCGCCTTTTTTTTTTTTGGCAAGCAGCAAAATCATCCTGGGAAAAGAACGCAAGAAACGAACTTATAGAACTACAGGGTGGATGAGATTTTTCATGTATTTAGTTTGAATCTGAGTAATCTGTGTCCACCATATAGTTGGTTCATAAAGATACAAATAGCCCTCAAATTATTGAAGTTTCAATACTCCTTGTATTGCACTAGTGCAAAGATAAAAGAATTTCAATGAACCATTAACCTCGTGAACCAAGCATCAACGTCATATTACACCTAGTCAACAACTAAATTGTCTAATGTCTTGAAATTAAAATCCTACAGGTCTTCCCAAAAAGAATAAAAGGAACAGGAGGCTTTTTTATATGGTTGTTTACTGTATCATAGGGACATGCCCATATTATGTATTATATGGTTGTTTATTGCATCATGTCAGGTATAAGCTGATATGTCTATTTTTTTCAAGACAAGGTCGACTAAATTTTGATATTTTTTGCCAAACAGATGTACAAATACAATATTAGTTGATTGAAGGGCAGAAAGGTCATTCTAGTTATGATATTAGTATCAAGGGTCCTAATCATCCTAAAAACAAACACATAGCTCGCAGAAGGAGGGAAAGCCATGGAATAGGGAATAGACATATCATATGGAGTTGCAAGTTTCCATGTCATTGGAGATGGGATTTCATAGCTAGTAGGACGTGCAGTTGACATAGGAATTGGGACTACGGCTGTAGCTGCTTCTAGTCAGCTCGTGATTCAGTTTCGGAGGGAAAGCCAGAGCAACCTGTGGCATGAGCAAATAACACTAAACCATGAAGAGAAGAAAAAGTGGTTCCATTCTGAATCCGCTTTGTCTACTTTGTCAATTACAAAACAAAGATGATAACAAGTAATATTCTTCTTTCAATAGTGAGAACTTATTTTGGACTATTTTTAAGTTAGTTTGAATCATAGTCCATACGAAAACAAACATTGAACTAGACCAAAATAGTCCCAGGATTATAGGCTGAGGATTATAGTATCCCCTAGTCCAACTATAGAAAACAAACGCGGCCTTATACATAAACCAATTCCTAAATATGCATTTATTCTGCTCAAAGTTCTATACGAACACCAATGTAAGACATAAAACGTTTGCCATGCATTAGCAGTTTATTTATTTATTCTAGTACATGCCTTGAACATACATATAGATATGCGGTAGGTAAATATCTACTTTACAATTGATTTGAGAGCTACATACAACAGGAAAAAAATTAAATTATAAAACCTAGAGCACATATATTTACTTTAAAAAGTATTAAGTGTAAATAATTTTAATTCAAACAGATATTTCATTTCCAAACTGTGACAAAAGAAGATTTTCAACTTCACTTCTGCTTAGGGGCTGTTTGTTTGAGCAAATAAAGAGAGAAATGAGCGATTTGAAATCTAACACCTTAGCCACATAGGATTTTGGTTTCAAGACATTTCCAATTCCAGTGTTTGCTTCGCTGGGTGATTTAAAGAAAAAGGGGGCTGAAATGGGGTTCCACATCAAAATTTGGAGAAAATCTATTTCAGAGCTTTTGGGAGCTTTTGGGTCTGAAATAGGTGAGAAATGTCCTGTCAATGAATTTAATATTGCTCAAAGCACTATTGAAACGACGGCTGGAAGTAAATGGTATTATTTAATATCTCGTCGATGAATATTTAATTGGAAAACTCATGGTATTTCTTAATTTTTGGACGTTGAAACAAATCTAGGAAATGGAAGTCATTGTTTTCCAGCCTATGATTTCAATGTGAAACAAACCAAATAAATCAAATGGGGGAAACCCTCAGAAATGTCCAGAAATGGTTTTCAAACTAGTTTTCTGTTTTCTTTTTTTTTCAGAAATGTAACAAACAGACACTTAATCAAATCTTGGAAGACAGAAACATAGAGCTTTTAAGTATAATATCGAGGATTTCTAGTTTTAAAATTGATGCCAGATAACAAGGGAACACAGCAAAATCATGTGCCATGAACTCATGACAAAAGTTATCAATCTTTTAAACGATACTTTAATTGATGAACCAATGAAAACTGTAAATTTGAGCAGTAAATTTACAACGGATTACCCTAGACATATGATACTGTCTAAATCTCCATTCAGAAAGAGTATCTTCAACCCCACATTGCCAGTTACTAGATTCGAAAGTAAGAAAGTGAAACAAGCATTAGCAGAAGATGAAACAAAAAAGAAATCAAGTACTCTCTATATGCATGCACAACGAAGCATTAAATATCTGACAAAGGGGGTTTTAGGACAGTAAGATAAGTACTAATGATTATTTCTAAAATGTACAATTTTCATCAAAAGAAGGAGAATTGAGAAAGACATTGTACACTAGCAGAAGCTATAAAAACCCCAAATATCAAGGGGCAATGAGAAAGCCATTGTCCACGACACATTAGCAAGAGTTATAGAAACCCCAAACATCGTAGAGGCCTAGAGGGTAAGCTGCTATCTAATAAACTTTAAATGAAGTCAAAGAGTAAAGGGAAAGTTTTTTTTTTTTTTTTTGATAGGCATCAAAGCCATCTATGACCATAATGAGAACTTTTGATCTAGTAGTACTTATATTCATTCTACCTCAAGCTTCACGTGCAAAACATTATTGATAGCTAACCAGTGCTCCATACTCCAGTTATCTCAACGTTGAATGTTACATGAATATGTGACATGCAATTTAGGCTTCAATCCTATACTTGTTACTACTATGATGTTACTAAAACTTTTATTTAAATAACATGGAACTTTTATAATGTTAGCAATTCAACTGAGAAAATGGCTCGCAAATGGAAATGGAGAAATATGATTCATATACCCGCTCTTAAGAGTTAAAGATAAAGGCCTCTGGCTTCCAATTCAACTGATAAAACTGGCCTTCGAGAGAGCGGAATGGTGAAAAATGATTCATACATCCACCCTTCAAAGTTTGGGACGAAGGCCTGTTGCAACTACTAATATACTGTGATAATAAACAAAAGCAAGCATCCATATTGCAACTATGTTTCTGCCTATACCAACTTTTCCCAATCACTTCGTTCATACTTCATAATTAGCTCATATGGATATGACAATTTGAAAGAATATCAAAAGGCAATCTTGTAACAAATAGCCAAGCATGCGAAACTTTCTACTCTATCAAGTAAGAATCTCTCTAAAGTTTAAAAAATGACGTGTATCACTTTCATGTGCATACAGCCACACATTCTAAACTTATGAAACCGCTAGCCTCCTCATTACCCTAAACTAGGATACAATCTTGAACAAGCAAGCAAGAGGACACGGGTACTAACTAGAGTCACTAAATGAAAAAAAATAAGCCAACAATCATCACTTTTTTAATCACTCATGGATTCATCAAGAAACAACTACAAATAATCGGAAATAACCTCTATGAAATACCAATTTCAATAAGTCAAAGTTGAGTCAACATCCCACGTATTACCAAGAAATACTCAAATCATACTCAAAAGACCATACAAAACCGCAACAATGCTGCAGTTTGAGCCATTATCTCAAGAGAACTACCATAATACAACATCCGCAATGAAATCATAGGAGTTCATCCAAAAAAAATTAACTAGGTTCAATTTCCATCCACATAAAAATAAAAAGTTTTGAGTCAATTATGATACAATATCCCAAATTAGAACCTTCAAATGCTATACCTTGAACTGGTTCGCTTAAACTACGAACTAAATACTATGATTTGGGGACAATCGGGATCGATTTGCTCACAGATCTATGAATCTAATTTATAATTAAATAGAGCAAAACAAACCCTGCGTGGGGAAATAGGAGAAGATTAAGGGGTTAAAAAGCAAAATCTCACCTACGACGCTGGATCCACCGGAACTTCCCATTGTCATCAGTTATCTCTCTGCGTAGAAGGATGGGAGATTTCTAAAATTTTGTTGGAGGCCCAAGTAATGAAGAACCCTAAAGAATCGATAAATAGTACGCTCGTTTCTTTTGATAAGTTCTTATTTGCAGCCAGCCCCTTGGACATTTAAACAAATGCAGGGAGGGCGCTTGCGTGGAATGGATTGTTTACATTTCAAGTTGCTTTTACTCTCCAATTTGCAAATAGTAATTGGACTACAGTTTCGGGTCGGGTCGAAAAAATCCGAAACATTCTCTGTTCGATCAAATAGCTTTTTAAATGTAGGAATTTTTGCATATTTACCTCTCACATCTTCTATATTTGCAAAGTTATGCAAAAAATCTTTATTGGCGAAATTACCCTCTAAAACTCGCAAAGTTATGCCAAAAATCTTTAAATGTCGGGTATTTCTACCCTTCCAACTAACAATATAAACAAGGAAAATTCAAACTTTCGCTAATTTTCAATAGGTGTACAACATATTCCCTTTTAAAAACAAAAATGATAAAATAAAAGGTGTAGGAAAAAAACTAATATGACAAAATTGGGGGGTAATTTTACAATTACCAACATTTGAGAGATAATTTTGCAAATATAGTGAGGAGTTAAATATGTAAAAACCTTAAATGTAATATAGTTCTTTTTTTGGCTACAGAAATATTAGAATTGCGATCCTTCTCTTCAACCGGTTGATACATAACATCATTTGGATTTGCGTACAAAATACAAAATTTATTTTTTTATGAAAAAAAAAATTATTATCTAAAAGCATTTAATAAATATTAAGAGGAGTGGTTTTTTTTTTGTTTGGGTGGGGGGTTGGGTGTAGATGTATATTAATATCTTGGGGTAATTAAGACATCCAAAATACTTTTTCAATTGTCAGATGTATTTAGTAAAAGAATGTGAGGTGAGGTACAATGATATGGAAGGAGGGACATATACATTTTGACCTTCATGTTTGGTTGCATATGGAGGAAGAAAAGGTTTATCTTTTTCTAGTTTATTTTCTCTCACCTCTTATATCCCCCCTCATAATTTCTAGCTCAATTTTACAGGAAAAATTCCTCAAGCACCCAAAATATGGGACCAATAGGGGGGACAAGTGAGGTGTCCCCCTCCTATTGGATAATGAGTTGGTCAACATTAATGATAACCAACTCATTATCCAATAGGAGGGGGACACCTCACTTGTCCCCCCTATTGGTCTCATATTTTGGGTCATTGTAGCAAAGCTCATTTTACAGATCCCTCACCTCATCTCTTATATCCTCCCTCCTCAAAAAGCCCTCTACCAAACACAATTTATTTTTTCTCTCTCCCCTCCCCTCAGTGCATCCCTACCAAACTAAGCCAGATGTCATTATGTTTTACTCTTAATTGTACTTGGTGGCTATTTGGATAGCTTGCAACCGAGTTATAACTGTTACTTGCATGCAGTCAAAATCTTTTACAACGATTATTGTGCATACTTGTAAATGTGACAATCTGATTGAAGTTCAAAAATGTGCAGCTCATTGTTGTAACTGAAGATGCAACCTCTTGGTTTTTTTTTTACAACTTCTCATATGCGAATTTGGTTTCACATTAAATAAATTGAAAATTTTAAATTAAATCTGTTAGATCTACATCAAAACTTAAGATCTAAAACCATATAGCCATGATTAATTCAAAGAGATTAACAATCAACTAATAGAAGAGCGGGAAGGCTTATACCTGAATCGCCCCATGGATGAAATGCTTGATTTGGGTTTTTATGATCTTCTAGACCGCTTAGGGTTCCTCCTAAAAATCCGAAATTCTCTCTAAGCTAGATGGGAGTGTAGAGAATTACGAGAATGTAACTAGGTTAGGGGAGCGCCATAACCCCTTATGTTAATAGTTTGTACTTTTGTAATTTAAGGCGCCCCTCAACTAAAATACAATTAACCTGGTATCTGCCTTGACACCATGATCATTTAAATAGCCAATTACCCTTAATTGATCACTGTCAGTGGAGTTAATCCTGAAAGATAGCATACACTTTGTCTAATCATTGATGGCCCACAAAAATTTATTAGATTAATAACATCTCCCACTTGGGCAGCCATCAATCGATTCCTAAAATCGTGTATAACCTTATGAGCTCAAAAAAATGCTAATCACTGCAATTGATTTCGAACAAATGCTCGTCGCATTGACTATATCATATAAGGATCAACCAGCGGCCTTCGT